GTTCCAACTTTAGGCATCGGGCACCCAGGCACAAGCATCAAAGACAATAGATCGGACAAGGGGGTCCCAAGCATAGCCGGCTGGACCCAATCATGGGTACCGGGGTCTCAGGCTCGGCCTTAAGGGATTAGAGCCCAAGAGCTAGGGCCCAAGCCCACCGAAGAGGCCAATAATACTAAAGATTTTGACACTTAATCAGCAAATAACCAGTTATAAGGTGATCTAGCTGGAGAAATTTAAAGCATATGATGCACCTATGGTCGTCAGGATTTGAATTGGGATAGGATAAGATAAGGTGGGATTAGAATTCGGCTAAATATCCTTCGGATTATAGAAAATATCATTATATGCTTGGCGCATTCTGGATAGGATAAGACACCGATACCTCATATTGCTAAAAACGAAGTCAAAATATTGACATGGAAGTTTGATGCACCTAGGGGGACCGGTGGACCCATTATGCGATTAGACGAACCGATGAGCTCGAAGTCAACGATCTTGGATTGAGCTCAAATTTGGTCGGCTGAAGCGAAACGGCGTGCTGATCAATACTCACTGCCGTTGGCTGTGACTAACGATAGATTTTCGCGATTCGGGGTCGTTTAGATGGGTTTTTCTATTTTTTTAGTATTTTTTATGGGTTAATTTAGTAAAGGGCAGTTTCGTAATTTTACGTTTTGATGTTTACTAATCCTAGTAGGGTTAGGTTTAAGGTTATATAAACTTGTTTTAGGGTTTTGTTTTATCATACTTTGGATATTTTGATTGTTAATCAATTGAGAGAACAGTTTGTTCATCGTTATCTTTCGATTCTTCTGTTTAGCCTAATTTCTTTCGTGCTTCGGCATCAGCATCAATTGTGAAAATGAAAATCCATTTCGTTGAACGTTCATTACCGATGGAGTTTACCCCGTAAATTCTATGAATCTAATTCTACCACTAAAATAAAAAAGATAGGTAGCGATGCAATAAGCGATGCTTGTGTGTTTTTTTCTTTTTTTGATCGAATTTCATGTTTATGGAATTCATCTTACCTCGACTTTGACTTCGTAGTAGTTCAACTAGCAAGCCCATGCATGCTCATATACATATGTTGTACTGATATCCAGATTATAGCATTAGACTATGTGGTTATGACAAAAAATGGGTTTGGCCTGACCAATAGCAAGCCAACGCGTGGTAATTAATTGGAGGAGTCAACGGTTCGACTACGGCCCTCATACGAAGCCCCCCATGGCCCGTGTTGACAGTCTAACTACCCGATCGACCCGACCAGACCCGATGATAGTCGGCATGTTCAGGTTAAGAAGGTGACCAACCCGTCGCTTCACCAATGAGAGGTGACCACATTTCAGAGGTAAAGTCTATCTACAAATAAGAGCCCTCCATTCCGAGGTACGCATAAGCCATTTCCGTTCTCTAACTCCTAAGTCTTGTCGCCTTTCTTGCTTGACTCAAGCACCGGAGAGTTCATACTGATCATAAACCCATAAACCCAAACCCCTTAACCGGTTGTCCAAGATGCATATGTGATAGCATTTGCATATCGGCCTGTGAGTGCCAAAATCCTAATTCGTCTTTAAATTCTTGTTAAAATTCGAAGTTAATTCCCTTTCGATAATTCTTTAATTTGAAGCATTGAAAATTTCTTGGTGAACCTCTTATCTTGCATTATCAATTTTCTTTGTGAAGTTTGACTTCCATCAAACGCCGAATGCTCGAAACATTCAAAAAATACAAGCACTCGCATATCGAGTTATCTAATTTTTGTTTGTAATTTTCTATTCGTAGGTTTTCTTGGCCATCACCACTTCCGAGGGAAATCGATAAGTAATTCATTTATGTTCTCTTTCAAAACGCGATTCGGCTGGAAAACGTGCAGCAGAATTCCAGTACGATGTCATAGCTGCGCTGCAATGACGTGGATGCGGAGCGCAAAAAATTGGATCGCGCCCGGCATGTCATTTTGAGGAATTAATTGGGTTTTGGTCGAAGCGCATCTGATGCACCTAGGGGGACCGGTGGACCCGTTATGCGATTAGATGAACCGACGGGCTCGAAGTCAACGATCTTGGATTGAGCTCAAATTTGGTCGGCTGAAGCGAAACGGCGTGCTGATCAATACTCACCACCGTTGGCTGTGACTAACGATAGATTTTCGCAATTCGGGATCGTTTAGATGGGTTTTTCTATTTTTTTAGTATTTTTTTATGGGTTAATTTAGTAAAGGGCAGTTTCGTTAATTTACGTTTTGATGTTTACTAATCCTAGTAGGGTTAGGTTTGAGGATATATAAACTTGTTTTAGGGTTTCGTTTTATCATACTTTGGATATTTTGATTGTTAATCGATTGAGAGAACAGTTTGTTCCTCGTTATCTTTCGATTCTTCTGTTTAGCCTAATTTCTTTCGCGCTTCGGCATCAAAGTTACTGGGCACGAGAAAACAGAAATGGTTGTGAAAACGGATCCAACAAGAAGAGCAAGGTTCTTGACGAGATTAGCAAGGGTGTTGAATTGCTGCAGAGTGGTTTGAAGGCCATTTTTTATGACTTTTCCTGGTGAGAGAAGGCTGAGGCTAACCTCTTAGAAATTCATTAAAAATTTTTAGTTCATTTTTCTTGCCTAGAGGATGCACAATCGATTCCAGAGAGTTGAGAGGGTAATAAGAATGCAAGACGTGAAATCTCAGCACCACGGCCTGCTCATCCGTGGGCGGGAACTGCAAGCTCTCGGTCATGGGCAATTCGGTAAAGGCTGTGTCGATGGGGACGAAAAGGGTGATCCCGGCGCCGCCCTCATCGGCCTCAAATTCCTAGATGACGCTGGAGGCAGCACCGTTGAAGTTGTGGCCATTGATTAGGGCTTTGGTGATGTTGAGGCTCAAACGAGGGCGAGTCTCGGAGGCAATGATGTCAAAGCTGTAAGGGATGAGGAGGAAATTGATGATGATGACGGAGAGGTTGTCAAGTACTGTCTTGATGGGCTCGAGGAGGGTGGCGTTGGAGGGGGAGTAAAGGGCAGGGGAGTGGACGGAGACCATTTTGGTGGAGGGGTGGCGCGTGATGTTAATGGAGCCGAAGTTTTTTTTTGGGGTCAAAGCCGGAGCCGATGTTATTAAGTTAATATTGAAAAAAATTTATATTCAATCTGGGTTATCCCACCCCCTCCGCCGAATTGTTATCTAGCATTTTATCTGGATATATCCAGGTTTATCCGGTCCGCAAGACATTGCCAAATACCGAATAGGATAATTTGTTATCCTATCCTGACTCAAATCCGAATTACCAATCGTAGGCTCAAAGCATTCATAGAATTTGATACATAACTTTTGTTAACTTTATAATCTAAGTGGCAATCTTGGCCTCTCTTTAATTTGGACGTGTTATGAATGAGAAGATGCAAGAATTCATGCTTGCCAATTGCACATGTTCAATGGACACCAAAAATATCACATGAGCGAAAATAAATAAATAAGTGAATAAATAAATTGTTGCTGTCTCAATCTCATCCGTCCAACTTTTCACCAACCACTGAAGTAATTGTATATGTACCCTCACTCACCGTGAGACCCAAATTTCAATATCCCTCAAACAAATTAAATATGAAGATTAAAAAAATGACAAAAAAGTTATTACGAAAATCTCTACCCTATCGTCTCCATTTGGTTTGTAATTAATAATTTTACTAATAAACAAAAAATGATAAAAAAAGGTATTACCAAAATCTCTTCCCTATCCTCTCCTTTTGGTTTGGAATTAATAATTTTACCAAATAAGTAGAAAAATGCCCAAAAAGATGTTAGGAAAATATGTGTCGATATCTTCTCCATCCGGTCTGTAATTTAATTTTACCAATAAATAAGAAAATTCCAACAAATGGTATTATGAAAATCTTCGCCCTTATCCTCTCCTTTTGGCCAGTAATTAAAAATTTTACCAAATAAATAAAAACAATGCCAAAAAAAAGTATTACGAAAATCTCTTTCCCATCCTCTTCATTTGGCTTGTAAATAAAAAGAAATGCCAAAAAAGGTAATAATGAAAATCTCTGTCCCATCCTCTCTTTTTGGTCTCCACATGGTCAAGGACTGTTCCAAGGACACTCTTGTCCTTTCACACAGTTCAAAACATCTCATCCCTTTGGTCGGTAGCCTCTATGTTTGCGCTTTTATATTTTATTCATTGGGACAATCTTATTAAGGCGTACTTAATTTGTGAATTTTTCAATTTTAGTGCATTGATTACCCATAACACGTAACATTATTTTCTCATTTTATTTCTCGCATCACTTCGGCACCTACTAGTAGATTCTGTTACGAGAGAATGTTCGAACTTCAAGGTTCCAATTAATTCTGCACACGAGTTCAATTAATTTCACACAAATTCTCATGTTTAAAGCAAGCATATGTAGATTTTCCGATTACAGTGCACTAATTGTTTATGACCGGAAACAATTTTTTGTCACTTTCTTGCTTGTCATCACTTTGCCGCCGCCAATAGAATCTCTATTTATGACGGAACATTCGAACTTCGGGAGCTTCAATTAATTCCACTCGTGAGTGAGAGCCATCACATTCTCGTGTATAAATATTTTACCTTTCACTCTCCACCAATCATTAAACGGATCTTTTTTTTTTTGGTAAGGATCATTAAACGGATCTTGTTAACCGATAAATCCAAAACGATGAATTTCTAAATTTCGATGTTTAGCGAGCGTTCTTGAGCATTCGTCGACAAAGTCCCAATCGATTTACTTGAAACGAAAGGGAATTTTTTTATAATGAAATTTTTTGTCTAATTATTTCCAGGAAAATTGGAGAGCGAAAAACGACCGGCTCAGTAGAAACTTGCATGCGCTTCACAACGACGCCGCCAAAGAAGAGTAAAGAGATAGAAGAACGTTATTCCAATACGTGCGCGAGAGCATGAGAGCGGTTGGGTTGGCTTTCTGCTATAAAATCCTTCTCTTGTGAGTCAAACCCCTGCCTACATCTTCTCCAACCAGAAACCCTAACTCTCTCGCTCAACTCTGCCATTCACACACACCCTCGCTCCGTCGACGCTCGTCACGCTCCGACGCAGACCCACCTCTGCTTCTCCGCGTTCCTTGTTCGTGTCCTTCTCCGATCTATCTCTGTATCTGGAGAAATCGTGCACGAGCCCTCGTCTTTGCTTCTTTCGGTGTATTTCTTGAAGCCATTCGATTTCGCAAAGCCTCTGTAAGCTTCCCAGGATGAATGCTTTTGTTGCTTCGAATTAGACCGTCAACTTTCTCAGTTCGTGTTCCCGTCGCCCTCTTTGTTTTCAAAATCCTTTTCCCTTCACTCGACGACGGAACCTCGACAATCTCTCGTTAGTGTTTTGGGTTAGTGATTAAAAGCTTCGGATCTTCATTCGTTCTGGCAATTCCATTTTCATTCTTCGATCCGCGCCGATGTTGCGATAGTTTTTCGTTTTAGCAGTTGTAAAATGTTTGTGAATTGATTCGTTATTTTTGAGACGTTCCAGCTTTGGTGGAAAATGTCGGACTATGTAGACACCATCACTTCCCATGCAGTCACAAGCGAACTCGACCATCCGGTGATCGATCTCAACCGTCCAGATCTGAACGATCCGATGGAATATCAGGATTCGGGCTCGTCCTTCTTCGATTGCGAGAGCATCGTCTCCGTCGATCAATCTGGCTTACGTCTGGTGCCGTTCATCAGCAGCGGGTTGGTGGAACTCAGCGAGGGAGACATGGTCCGCCGCTTTCTCAAGGAGAGATTCCTCTGACGGGTAGGTGCGCTCAGGGAGCAAGTCACCGTGGTGACGATCCACCAGAACGGCTTCACCAGCGTCTCCGCGAGAGGACGGGCCCGAACGTTTCAAGATTGCTCAGAGGCGATGGAGAAGAAAGGCAACGGCAACACGGCCAACGTGAGGTACGCATGGTATGCGGCCTCGAGGGAAGAGGTCTCCGAGATCTTCTCCCATGGCTTTGGCTACAGTGGGAAGCCTCAGAACAGTGGGTTGTATGGCCGTGGACTTTATTTTGCTCCTGAAAATCATCTTCTCGAAAGGTACGGAACCCCTTTTTCTTCATTTTGAATTGCGCAAATAATTGAGAGATACCGTTTAGTAGTTTTTTCCTTTTAAGCTATGATCCGTTAGATCTAATAAAATGAGCATATTTCGCTATCATTTTGTTTCTGGACTCGAGTCAATCTATTGTGTATGTGATGATATTGGCCTTAGATAGTCTCTTGGTAATGCTTTGGCAGCGTTAAATTCGCCCCCATTAATTGCATAAATAATCAGGAGATTATCACAAAGATTAGTTGATTTAGCGCGTTATTTCGCTTTTAATCTATGATCAGTTAAATCTAGTAGAACGGAGTACATTTAATCTATGATTGGGAGCATGAAATCCAACCCTGTAATTTGAATAAATAATCGAGAGATACTGTCCGGAAAGTGGTACGATCACCAAGATATGTTGATTTAGCATGTTATTATATTTCCCTTTTAATCTATCATCGGGAGTATGTTTCACGAGTACGTTGTTTCTTGACTCATGTATGTTAATATGTCGTGCATGTGATCATAATGGCCTGAGATAGTCTCTTTGTAATGCTTTGGCAGCGTTAAGGTGGCACCTATGGATTCAGAGGGCCTCAGGCATGTGCTGCTTTGCCGGGTCATACTGGGGAAACCGGAGCTTGTTAGTTTTGGCTCGGAACAGTCTCATCCTAGTTCGGAACAGTACGATTCGGGCATCGACGACTCATCATCTCCAACGAGATACATTGTTTGGAGCACCCTCATGAACACTCACGTGTTGCCGGAGTACGTTATCAGCTTTAGAGCCCCTTGTGGCTTGAGAGGTAATCAAATTGTTCTTTCCCGTTCCTGCTTTTGCATTGACCTTGTGCGTTTGACTTTATCTGTTCTGTTACCGGTCCGATGATTTGTGAAAATCTATATGCAAAAGTGTTGTTGAGGACTCTAGAGAAACCGACTTCCCCTCGGGTGACACTTTCGATGTTGTTTTCGAAACTCTCGAAGATCTTACTTCCATCTGACGCCAATTTGCTCCCCAAGTATTATGAGGACTACAAAGTAAGCGCCACATCGACATTGTCAATCTTTTAGCTCTTTTCTTTGAAGTTTTGTTTCTGCCCACCTTTAATGTTGAAATAATTGTTAAAACATGATCATCAATTTTCAGGGGGGAAAGATTTCGAGGCATGTGCTGATACAAAAAGTCAAGCAACTTGCAGGGAAGTTTGCTGATTGGAATCATCAGAAAATTTTGGAAATAAGGTGTGAATTGTGATCTCTCTGATAAACAGTAATTCGAAAGCACGTCTATGCCTTTGATGTCAAGTCATGAATAGAGGGAGCTTGTTTCTGTTTGCGTTGAGTTAATAGTGAGCAATTTATTCCATTTTACAGCAAAAAGGAGCGTGCAGTGGCTGGTTATGGGACCATGGAGGGCCTTGAATAAGATTGGATGCGGCGTACAAATAAGACTGGTTTTCATTTTATATGAGTTCACAGCACACAGTGGAGCGAGCAAATGGTACACAAGATGTGGACGAGGAGGAGGACCATCCGAATCGGACACTAACATAGTTGCGGACTCTTAGATAGGAAATATATTCTTTCGGAGTTTGTATGATTTGCTGATCATTGAACATTTGTGATTGGTTATAGTCATAAACGCGGTCTTCTCTTGGTCCCTATGTCACATGTCTGTTTGTTTTCAATGGAGTATCAAAACTCTTCTTTAGTTGACATGTTAAGGGAATATTTCATGATCTGTGCAATTATGGGGGAGATAATTACGTTTTCATCTAATGACATGTCACCGCATAACCAGATTCTAAAACTTCTGTGGCAAGCCTTGATAAAAATGCATAATTGATGAAATGAAAGGTGGCTAGAGATTAAGGGTTTTCCCCTAAATTTCTACTTGAAGAAGTTATAGAGGTAGATGAGTAATGTGAGTTTATAATTGGTAGTTGACCTTATCAAAACGGTGGAGGGTAGGGGTGGAATCATGCTTGCTTTGTCTTTATAGATGCAAAGTGATAGGTCAAATTATAGCCTAGTTTCAAACGGTTGAACTAAGAAAAAGAAAAGAGGTCCACGAAGAGTATGGAAGAAGCCTTGGGGTTCCATCATTAATAGTGTAATTGAGTAATTGTCTTAGATGTCAAAGGTTTAAAACTGAAATGGTATCATTTAGGAGAAGATTCACCTGTGTTTGGTTCTTTTCTTGCTCACGAATTTATTTCCTGGGATAGGAACTCCGGCCTTTTCTATAATGGATTTTGTTCTCTTTAGAATCTTGTTCTTACTTAGCAGTTGTAGGAGTACGTAAATCCCTGGGTAAAAGGGGAAAGATAACGAAGAGAGAAAAGGGATGTTTGGAAAGTTTTTCTTTTGATCGAAGGACTAAAAGCATCCTTGGCTCAACGCCCTAGAGTTGAAACCCATGGAGAAACCACTACAGAGCATCATCTATTTTTAGTTCCAGTGAAGATGGTGGTGGGTCGGGCTTACATATTGATTCTTTGAAAGAAAATGGTAATGACTTTGCGTCTATAAGTTTAATGGTAATGGTGCAGCTGTTGATGCCATGACAACAGATGCTGAAGTTGGGAATGAGAATGTTGACGTGAGTGTTGCAGGACCAGCAACTCTGGATGTCGAAAGAGAGAGCACTGTTACGGTTGGTGCAAGGGTAAGTTTGGGCATTCGTTATGATGCGATCGTTGGCAATCTAGAAAATGGCAATGCCGGTGGCAAGACAAGGGGGACATTTTGACGAAAATTGAGGTCGACGATGGAAATGCAAGCTCCCGCGCAAAGATAGGCGCTAGGAGCTTGTTAATGATCCGATGGTCCTAGATGGAGGAATGGAAGTTGATGAAGCGCCTAATTTGAGTGGAGACAATTCACTTGACAATATGGATGGCACAAATGGCATGTGCATAGGGAATTTATGTTACTTGTCAAGTTCAACATGAACACTTTTTCTCGTCCAAGTGGAAAACATACTTATCACACTGTATATGATCTTATATCCACATTCCAAATTGGACGACATAACCTATTAGTAGACATGTTGTCATCTAATCTCTTGGCAATCCTAGAACCACACTGTCCAGTCAACTTTGCAACCTCGTTTCTCCGTCTTTGCAATCTAGTCATAACTATCAATCATATATCTTCAAGTATGCTGATGTGATTTGCACCTAGCCTCTATGATTCTGCCATTGAATTCTTAACAAAGGTTGTTGTAAATGATATTACGCTTGATTTCTTCACTAAAGAAGACTCTACACTAATGCTTAGGTTCAGTATGGAATAGTGCTACAAAACCTTTCCTTACAGCCCAAACAAACCCGGTTTGTGAGTTCTGATATATGCCATGTCGATGCTCCTTGCGATGAGCCAATTTGCTTCTGCAATTTATCCCATTTTATACTTATTTGCCCAGTATGCATATGTGTGTCTCACACACATTTTATGCTCAGCATTTGGCATCAACTTAGCTCATGCGAGAAGAAGTCCATGCAAAAATTCAAACCAACAAACACTTGTAAGCAACAATATATGATTGATATTAAAAATATAACTGTTAATAATGGCATTACTTTTTCTTGGTCGCTCATAAATGTCCAACCTCCCCCATCAGTTATCTCAAGGTCAGCCATTAGATTTTTAAGAAACCAGGACCAAGTGTTCTTATTCTCAACCTTCTCAACAGCCCAAGCTATTGGAAATTTCTCATTATTTGCATCTCTTCCGACGGCAACCAATGAATATCTTTCAAAAGACATCCATCCACCCCTATCACTCTTCCATAGCTAGCCAAGAAGCCTTTTTTGGATGCATCAAAGCAGATGTACATCTTATCAAACCAAGTCCACAATCATGTAGTGCCCTCTTCACAACATCTATTTATCAGTCCATCACCTTGTGCTTGACTCTTTTGCACTAATTTCTATACACATTAACCCTTACATTATATTTCACAAATTGTTTCAAACTCTTGATCTCTAGCATGGCCTTGAAAGTATTGAAGAAGTGCTTATCTAATCATACACTAGTTATCATTTTATTGTCAAATACAACGTTACAAGTTTGTTCCTCTTAAAAGGGTCTGAACTGGAATGAACCGCTCTTCTTACTCAACATGCCATATATCTTCCATGGACAATATTCTTGTGAACACTTTGCTCTCACGAATTCGTTGGTATTTCTAGTGAATTCAACACTTCTCTGTTGAGCAATTGAGTACTTCACAATAATTTATTTGAATTGTTTTCGATAATCAAATTTCATAAATACACACAACACATGCAATGATCTAATTATGATAATGATACTTAATTTGCCTCCTACACACAGCTACTTCATCATCTTCATTCTCATTCTCTAAACTATCACTCTCATCATCAACACCACTTTCTTCATATTCAATCTCATTACCATTAGCGAGCTCATTGGACCCTATTTACAGGTTAAGATTCATGAAATTTCCCAAGTGGTGCAAATTGATTTTCCTAAAAATTCTCTCTGGTTTTGACTTGACTATGCAAGTTCCTCATCATCATCATCATCATCACTATGGCAATTTGTATGTGCCAAAGGTTCATCATCTAATTCAGTAAATAGAGCAACTTCCCGATCCACTCTCGTCAATTCTTATTATCCGTGTCTTCACTAAAACTCTAAGACATGTGTCGGTTTGTTAACTCTCTATAACACAAGAGTTGTATGCCTTGCCTCCCTCTCCTTTACTCCTCCTTCTAAAACATATTCATCCCTAGTCAAAGTACTTTGTTCAATGCAATCTCCTACTTCTACTATATCAGTGTTCTCATCTTCATCATCAATGTAATACTCTACATATACATAAGCTTCCTCACCAAGAAAATAACAGTAAACATCATCCCTAATAGCATCACCATCATGCAGGTATCTCATACCCTCTTTCAAGCTCTTACTAAGAACCTTATAATGCAAATGTCTAATTTGCATCATAACTTTTCCACTATATCCCTTACAAATTATTTAAATTATATCCTACTCATGTTGACCTAGACAATATCGACATTTATACCCACATATCCCCACTCATCGCCAATAACAAATTCCCCACCATGGCAAACAACGATGGGTATAGTGGTGTCACCCATACTAACCCAAGACCAAAAAAAAATAGGTCTTGGGATCACAACACACAATCGATGACAAATTAATAAATCGGCTCCCATAATTGCACCAAATTAAATAAACAATAATTGACTTTGTCACTCAATGGACAGAAATGACAATGCATCTCACCAAACACAATAAATCATTTGATCTTTTAACTGTTGCGAGATTCCTCTAGCTGGTGTTGAGCCCTAATTTTTCCCTCAAACCACCAAGCCAAGCCTAATTTTTTCTCGCGCCTAATTGAGTGAGTAAATGAGAGAGGATGACACTGATTAAGTGAGTGAATTGAAGGAAACAGATTCCTAGAAATGTGGAAAGACAGAAACAAATTCCTAAACGACATAAAACTCGAACTAACGAGTATCGCCCAAAAATCGTATACGAAAAACGTACCCAGTATAAGCTTGAATCACCGATCGTTAAAGTACATCACCAATAGGGACGTACCTTGTTTTCCACGGATTAAATGTTCCTTTTGCAACGTCGAGAGAGAGAACAATCCTTAGATCGTTGAACAAAATCCCTTCTTCTTTGTCCTTTTGTGAGAATAAGTTTCTGATTATCAAAAATGCAAATCCACACACACTCTTACGTGTGTTCTCACTTTTTGTGTCTAGACAATAACTGCCAAGTGCAGTTATTTCCTTTCATGGGCTGGGTTAGCCCATCATGAGCGGCCCATCATTCACAAAGAAAACCCATCATCTCCCACTCGCACATGGTGGGCTAAACATTAACTCTCTCTTTTATGCAATGTTCATATCAACAAATAATCCATGCGACCAGCATACTTCGAGAGCTCGTTGCTATGCATCTGTTAGGAACACATAGCAGCTCAAATTGGGCATTACGTTATCGAGTAGATATAGTATGCAATACCCTAGATCAATCAGTCACATTTATATCTCTCTTAATCTCTTTTAGTATCTCGTATATTGTATTCACAACTATGATTTACTCAAAATCATAATTGATCGACCTGTGAATACAAAAAAAAATATGACATCACAAATAAATTGATCTTCCCCTTTCCTTAATCCTCTCCATTTCAATTCAATTCGCTTTTCTAGAAATGCCCCATTAGATCGAATTATTCATGACCATTGGCAACACCCTAAGATAGCAAACACTGAATAGAAATTTTGAGAATAAGTTAGAGTCGTGAGGGCATTTAATGAGGAACTCTTATCCTCAAGAGTCTCACACGGCATAAAGTTGAGATCAAAAAACTTTTGCCACTCTTATAGGTCGTCTTATGCATACGTAGTATGAAATATGTATTACGGCATTCTCTCCTTCCCCTAGGAGCGCATGTCTTTATACTTAATGCCGTACAGATGATAGTTTAAATATACTTAATATCTAGACTTGAGTTCACGTATCTACTCTTTTAAAGAATTCATCAGAACTCACATCTGGCATCATTGACAGATAAAGTAAAATATGTGGGTTATTTTACCTTCGGACATAGTAAATATTATATCCTCATCTTAATATTCAGTTAAGGCGACATTTGTAATTTAAGCTTGAGCTCTCAATTATCACCCAGATAATAAGCTTAA